GTTCGTGGTATCGCCTGTCAGGTGGTTTATTTGTTCTGACACTTTAGTGATAACAAACTTACGACGGCTACGGTCTGCATCATATGGAGTTCGTCACTGACGGATACATGTTTTATCTTTTATTTTCCTTTTTTGCTAATTTATAATGCCTGCCTCTATTACTTCTGAAAATGAGCATACCTCCTCTCACTGTCCTATCTATCCCTATCGTTCACTTTGCGCCTTCTTACGCAATCACATTAACTGTAAACAACTATTATCTGCGACAAATAGCTGCTCTGCATCAAAGAAACGTAAAAAGAGAATCGAACTTGTTCAATGTTGGCGGTATCGGGGAACAGTGTGAATCACACGTGTATCCCTGTTCATTAGGTCAATTAGACACGTTGACTGAGTCTGTTGAACCACACGGGGTGGTTATGACTCAGCATTTGAAAACATGGAAAGCATCAAATATGAGGAAAACTGAATTATTGATAATACTCGATCGGTATGCAGTCCGTGGCTACGGTAACTCATCTACGGGGTTTACATCTGTGCAGTATGCACATTCTTGCCTGTTTCGGATACCCGCTGTAGATTTCTTCCATACCTCCCTCTGTGTGACTGTAAGCTTTTCTGTTCGTGCTCCTGGAATTCATTCCTCCGATGTGTTCTTTGATTACACTGTGAAACCTCTGTTATGGTTCGTTATCCCTTCTGATTTCCTGATGCTGTGTGTATGGGTGTGTAGCTAAATATTTACTTACTATTGATCTTCTTTCGCAGAACAATCGAATGTCTCGGTGCCCAACTCCATTTGTTTCATCAGTAATAATGATTTCGGAGTCTTCTTTTATCTCTTGTGGGGTGTTTCCAACTCTAACTCAGCACCCATTTCATCTGAACCCTATACAAATTGGTCTCTCCCCCGGGACTACCTAGATCGTCCTTGTAATATATAGCGTTGAAAGATTCTAATTATTCGTGTTACTGAATCTGTTCTGTCGTTTGTGCTTGCATCCCAAACGGAGGGAAATCACCGGCATTCTGGACTCCGATTGTGTACGGTTGTGTGCATTCACCGGAAACCGACCTACTCTCTTGCACTCGGTTTTTGGTTTCTCATTTGATTTGCTTCCAATCATTTATCTGACCTTTGCTCAGCTGTCTGTTCTGCTAGTTTGCTTTGATTGTGGGTGAATAACAATTTGGGACTCATAAGTTTGACTAAAACCGTTCACCATTCTTGGGGTGATCACTATTTTCCCGACAGGTTTGAAATTTGTTTTATTCATTGTTTCACTAATGCAAAAAGTGAACAGCATTATGCTTTTTCGTTCGGTACCGATCGGCTCTGATTGTGCTGCCATTGAATTTCGCGACGGTGACCTTCAATTATCATGTGCTCAACTGCTTTCACTTGCATTCTAGAACCCCGTTGAGTATGGAATCGTGAGGATCAGTGAATTTCAGCTTGGAAAACGTTGTTCTTTCAGATTTGATTTGACATTTTCTCTAAACTTTCCTTGAGGCCACCCTTAGGTCGGTAATGAATCACTTAAATGCATCTGCTTCCGAAGCAGTACTGACATCGTCGACTTCTCCATTGTACAGAAAATCACGTCTTAACACACAGTAATCGAACCTTAGTTTGTAAAGTCGATCTAGCATGGACCTGCTTGAAGAGCAGAGAAAACTTTCTGCCACTATGTTTGCCACAGTGGGTTCAGTCTAAGCGTGTGCCCGTGCATAAAAATAATACTATACGTAGGCAGTTTGAACCAAATCGATCCCCCGCCTTTAGGTTCAACATTCACACTTGAGCTTAAGCATTGAGCTTAACGAAACTTTCTCCCCTCATTAAAGAGATTAATCCAACGAACATGATTCTGCTTGAAACAACCATCGATAATTCAGTTGCACTGATTTTATTTTCAGATGGCTCGTTTTGCTTATTCCATAGTGTATGTAGTGATGGGTGAATGCATTTGATGGGATTGAACATAGTGTTCCGTTCACTTATTAACCATGCATCAAAAAACGCATAAACTGCATCCTCTCTTCTGAGATGCACGATCTTCCCTTATCTGTAGCGCGCGATAACACACACTGGATCTGTGAAGAATATGTCGTTTCTATAATTTGTGATATGTACCTATTTGCAGTGTTTTTTGATGTTTTTCTGATATGGACTAATGCCCCTCATTTTCCCATCAGACCTATCACTGAACTACTCGCCTTTGTCCTCATGTATAATCACTGTTAAATTTGTTCCGGATTGGATATTGTGTATCATGGGATCGCATTAGCCATTGGTCCATTTGCTGTTCGTTTATGACTTGATTCCTTATTGGAAGAAGCTTTGTTTTTCGCTGTATGCTTTTAAGTTTACCTTTATGGCGTTGCCATTGAAAATCACACTACCGGGCGATCCATTGGAAGTCCCGAATCAGTCGATTAAACATAACTTTTGTGCATATTTCGTTTCCGTTTTTACATGAAGTTTTCAAACGTGAAATAACCCTTGGTGACTATTGGTGGATGGTAATTGACCACCCAAAACGAGATTTGAAAACCCCCACGTTTGAACCTTATAATGCTGAAATGCTTGATACCGCTCTTTTTATATTATCTCATGCCTTTATGTTTTTTTGCCACTATTCACCTTCACGGACTTGTTGTCCTTTCGGTATCTAGCGTATACGTCTAATTATCAGCTAAGTTTGTCCTCAGAAGATTGGAAGCCTTGGCGATCTCCCTACCCGGATTGCTTTTTGTGTGTAGGTAGTTTTGAAATCGCTCTGAAATACTCGACTGGGATCGTCATTCTCTAGACTGACTTTGGGATCATTTCTTTTTGCCTATTTTTATGTGTACCGGTTATTTTTTATTTTATTCATTTTTCCAGCGAACCTTTCTGCAAAATAACAAACAGATGCGCCATGCACAAGTGCCAGTGTCATGTTTGCAAAAAGTATAACCGATAGCGTATTTATCTTAATAACAATAACCATCTATACCCTTACAGTTGTGTATAAATGGCTGGGACAGTGCTTCCATATATTCACTTACCTTTACGTTCGTCATCCCAACATCTGTCTTGATCTCATACTGCAGACGAGGACCTGCCCTCCCGCGACACGATGAGTCTTTTTCGCCGCGGTCGAAAACAAAACAGTAGTTTTCGGAATGCTGTGGACCGTTCTTTGAATCTTGGTGAAACATCCGTGTCACGTCCGTCTGAGAACAACACCAATCGAATAGGTCGAAGCCGATCAGCCAGTCGTGTTCCTAGTTCCCCCATTCCAAACAGTTGCACTCAGTCCGTTTCCACGGATGCTTCCCAGTCCCAACGTCTTACGCTCTCACAGAATCACGTGACTGATTCACATCATTCCGCAAAGCATTCTCGTCCCACAACTCCCGCTCTTTCCCCGGATGTGTATCCACCTGTTCCGCCCCGTCAGGAATTATTACCTGCACGAACAACACCTACCAGTAATGTGAAACCAGCCAAACGAAGCTTCGGAGGTATACGGGGTTTGTTTAGGTAAGTCATATTTGGGAGCCATTGGACATGGTTCCAAACTGAACCTCATCTGATGGAGTGAGAGTGGAGTTTACTTTAACCCCATCGATTATGCTGCGCACATTCGTTTTGTTTCTCTGGGTCTAATCTTTGAACTATCAAGAATCTCCCATAAAATACAAATTGGTGATCATGTATCATCGATTCTTCCGACGTTCCACGAACTTGGGGTCGTTCATTTGTCAACGCGATTCGGAATAACACTAATTCAAAATGTTCTTGAAAACGTTCCTTTGTTTTTTTCCTACTGGCACGTTTTCTACACTTGTGCTCATGAGGAACTACTGTTTAGAATACTATTTCAGGGGAACGCTTGTTTTCAGTAACTCATAATCATGCTGTTACAGTTCATATGGGGGGAAAGAACTTACGGGTTGGGAAGAGAACAATGAAATGTAAGGAATCGTTCACCTCGTGTATGCGTGTCTGCGTATGTCTGTTGCATACCGCGTTCTCAGATCCGTACTTCCGGGATTTTTAGTTACGTCACGTTGGTCATATGACCCAGTTCTACGGGATCGGTGTTTTGTGAAAATCTATGTGTGGACAGGGGGGATAGGTGAGTTTGCGAACCCGGGGGAGATGGGGAGCTTGGACAAGACGCTTCTGGGCACTTGGTTCGGGGTCAGATCGTCAATACGGATGGCCTCCGCTATAGCCAACGTACACATTCTAACATATTTGGACCGGTTTGGGGGAACCTGAACCTGCTTCAATTGGGTTAACACGATAGCTAGTGCCCACCAAGTGAGCGAGAATCGCACTTGTGATATATCCACAACCACCTAGACTCAACCAGTGCGGATGGTGTTCTTTCATGCGGATAGATAACCGCCGTGTCGTACGGCCGACGTAGAGTGCTTCACAAACGCATCTGAACGAGTAAGCAATCTTCGAAGCGGTCAACATCGGTAGTTTATCTTTATTCCGTATAGTTACCAGTGGCGAACTTTTGAAAGAGCAGTGTATTTGCGCAGCGTTGAATGAGGTTTTTACCGCCCCATTCAGTCGTTTCAGTGGCAACTTCGTTCCTAAAAGGAAGACTAACGAGCAGGTCCTTCTTTTTCACTCTATCAGTGTGTACTTTTGGTACCTTTTCCATCATATTTCGTTGAATGAAACGGTCGGGGTAGCCATAGCTTCTGAGCACGTTGGAGATAAACGTTCATCTTCCGATACTTCTTGTGAGCAGATTCTCCGATCTTTGGATACCAAACATTTTATCAGGCTCCTCTTTAGCTTAATCGGGACATAACTGTAAAAATTCGTGTAATGACCACTCCATGTTTTCGTACGGTACACACGGCGTTGTGTAGACCCATCACGTCTTCTGATGAGGAGTACGTCAATATATTGACGTACTCCTCATCAGAAGA